AAAGAGAGAAGGCTTGAAAAATAAATCCATGACTATAATAATGGAAGGAGAGAATTGGAAGAGACAGAGGATTGAGTGAAAAAAAGAGAAGAACTCTTGCTTGGCTGTTTAGTTATTATGGATGAGAGCCTTCTAGGAGGAGAATTCTCATGTAAGACTTCAGAAATGTGCTCAGGGAATTGATCAAGTACGATGCAGATGGCATGAAACATATCCAGTGTAGATTTGGGGATGTATTCTAATGGTGATGTTCACTTACGATTCAGTTCTTGGTCATAGTTCCCTCTGATGTTTCCTCTGTCCCTTTTCTATTAGTCATTTATTTTTTCTTCCCTCTAGACTCAAATAATTGTATCTTACAGATGTCATGCCTGAGAAGCCCTGTACTTGTGTCTTCCTGATGGCACATATCATCCACTGGATCCCCCAGACATAACAGCCAGTAAATAATGAAAGTGGAAGAAAATGCAGTGTGTTTGTTATATAATGGGAAGTGGTAGGGGGCATAGTTTATGCTTTCAGCAGACCCATATACTCAAAGTTTACAGATGTTTAATTTCTAACTGCTGAAAATGTGGATTAACACTGACACTATCTTTTAAAAGAGGTTTTATTGCTACCTTTTGATTTTATATCACTGTAGTTTCTGGATCTACTACCCCTCCCTGGTTGAATCCTCCCATATAACAAAGAATAACAGTTAAGCAAAAACAACAGATAAAGCAACCTTCTATTATAAAGTACGTACCATTCTGCCCTAGTAGCCTTTCTTCTTTTTTTTTTTCTGAGAGGAGAGAGGTATTTTTTTTTCTTTATCTTTTTATGAGTCCACTCTCTAAAACCTTTTGCTTTGAAGCTAGAAGTAAAAGCCTCTTCTACATTCGAGTAAATTTTACTTGCACCAAAATTACCAAGTTTCATCTTTAGTCCCACAGGAGAGAAGACCTGTCCTTCAAAGGTTCATTCCCCCCCAGAACATATGATGCTGAAATAATCCTGAACTACCCAGCTGCCCTCTGGGAAACACGTTTCAGTGGCTGTCAGAGCAGTGTCTGCAAGAACACGTTGTGATGGTCTCTAAAAAGAAATCTCAGTCCCTCAAGCATCCATACTTAGAGATCAGGGACTAGATTGGATGCTTACTCTATTTCCTGCCAGATACTCCATCTATTTTAATTGATCGACTTAATTGCCTTAGGGAAGCTACTTAACTTTCCTTCCCAATAAAAAAATGTGGAAGCTACCACTATTCTCTCCCCGATCCCACCTCTGATCTTAGTAGTTGATACCTTTTTGTTAGCATGCAATCTAGCTCAGCCAAAGAAGACAAATGGCAGATGGGCCTTGCTCATGACAGAAGCCTGCTGGCTTGAGGTGAGGGATGGTATTGATTTATGGTGCTTAGAAGAATTTCTTACCTTCATTAGATCTCCAGCTATGACTGCCTGTACAAGTGCTGTAAGAGACAAAAGAGAGACTTCCTATTAGTTCTAGGACCTCCTTTTGAAATATTTTCAAGGTCCGGGGACCTCATGCTCTCAAAATACAATTAACATGTGGGACAGGAAGGAGGAAGGTGTGTGGAAGAAGAGTATAAATGGGGCAAATTTGTGAAATTGATTAATTAGCCTTCTGTATACTCTTCTTAGCTTCTAACCCACCCAGGTACCTTCCTATGGCACATAATAACCCTGGATTTAGCTTCTTCGTACTCTTCATGTACTACTACCCAGAGCTTGTCACGGTCATGCTTTCCCAGTAATACTTGTTTTAGATTTCACTGACTTGGGAACCAAGGTATCAAATCATTTGTCTAAAAAAATTAATCTCAGCTAAAGGGAAAAAACTAGAAACTCAGCAAGGCAACAAGTACAGTGTAGTAGTAGTAGTAGTAGTAGTAGTAGCAGAAGAAGAAGTTGTCTACTACTACTAGCATTGATATAGTTCTTTATAAACTAGCATTTATATAGTTCTTTAAGGTTTACAAAGTACTTTGCACCGTCTCCTTGTTTGATCATCATGGTGACCCCATGTTAATCTTATCCCCATTTTACAGATGAAGATACCGTTAGCTACCATCCTATATCTCTCCTTTTTGAGGCTACACTTGAGAAAGTTGTCTGCAATTAATGCCTCCGCTTCCCTTTTCTTACTCTCTTCTTAACTCTTTACAGTCTACCATCCAATTTCATCACTCAACTGAAATTGCTCTCTCCAAAGTTACCCATGATATTTTAATTGTCAAATCTATTGGCCTTTCATAATCCTCTTCCTTCTTGACCTCCCTGTAGCCTTTGGCATCATTGATCACTTTCTTATCCTTGATATTTCTCTCTATGTGTCCATGACACTACTTTATCCTGGTTTTCCTCTTATGTAACTAACTGGTCCTTAGTCTCCTTTGCTGGATTAAGCTCTGAAACTGTGGGTGCCCCCAGGGCTCTGTCCTGGGTATTCTCTTGTCCCTCTGTAATGTTTTGCTTGGTGATCTCATTAGCTCCTACAGATTCAATTGTCAGTTTTATGCTGATGATTCTCAGATCTACTTGTTCGTCCCAACCTCCAAACTCACCTCCAAATGCCTATTAGACATCATGAACTGGGCAATCGGTAGACATCTTAAACTCAACACTTCCAAAACTCAACTCCTTATCTTCCCTATGCCCTTCTCAAATTCCTGTGTGTAGCATATCACACTCCCCCCCCAGTCACCCAGGCTTGCAATCTAGGTGTCATTCTTGGCTTTTCCCTCTCTCTTTCACTCTCCATATCCAATCTCTGGACAAGGCCTGTTGATTTTACCTTCATAACATCTCTTTTATATACACACTCCTGTTCCCTGGCACTGCCAACCACCTGGGTGCAGGCCTTCATCACCTCGCACATGGACTACTATAATAGCCTGCTGGTGGGCATTTGTGTTTCAAGTCTTTCATCCACTCATTTGTCAAAGTCATCCTTCTCTCAGCAATCATATCTTTTTTGCAAGTGCTTTGTAAACCTTGAAGTGATATATAAATTCTAGCTGTTATTATTATTATTGCTGTTAATTATTTTATCTGCAGACCTGCTGCATCCCACTTCCTTCCTATTCCCAATAGAATATAAGCTCCTTGAATGCAAACAAGTATTTTTTGTCTTTTTAGCTACAATACTTAGTATGGTGCATGGCACAGAAGAGTATTTAATACGTTTGGTGAATTGCCTTGAACAACACTATCATCTACCTCAAAGGGTTGTTGTGAGGGAAGTACGTTGGGAAATGTTTTTATACCTTAAATCAGGGGTGGGGAATCAGGGTTTGTATACCTTAAATCAGGGAATGGAGGCCACAAGGATTTGTTCTGTGAAGTTTGGATTCAGTCAAAGGGCCACATTGAAGGACTTAGAGGGCCACATGTGGTCTTGAGGCTGCAGGTTCCCCACCCCTGCAAATCACTGTATACATGTGAATAATGGTTTGACTATGAAAAGGAAAAGCTGAAGTGTTTCTTTGTCTTCAGTTGCCAAGATATTATCTCAACGTTTCTTAATGGAGGTTTGGGCATTGAATGTTTTTGGTTTTTTTTCTTTTTTGGAGGCAATTGGTATTAAGTGACTTGTCCAGGGTCACAGAGCTAGTAAGTGTCAAGTGTCTTGAGGTCAGATTTGAACTCAGACCCCCCTTATTGAATGCCTTTTGATTATTTTTCTTTCTTTTAATTTTTCCTCCATTTGTACTTACAGAAAACTATCTGCAATTGCTGTATATATGTGTAATATATGAATATATGTATGGGGGCAGCTAGGTGGTGCAGTGGATAGAGCTCTGGCCTTGGAATCAGAAGGACCTGAGTTCAAATGTGACCTCAGACACTTGATGCTGACTAGCTGTGTGACCCTGGGCAATTCACTTAACCCTGATTGCCTCACCAAAAAGCAAAAAAAAAAAAAGGAATGTATGTATGACAGAGAGAGTGAAAGGCAGACAACAAGATGCCTTCCCATAGGTATTAAGCCTCTTTATGTTTGATTTTAATTTTTCTCTATGCAATGTCTAGGGGTAACCACTAGTCCATTAGTCATTTCAGGGTTTAAGGTAAAAGAAAAAAAATGTTACATTTACTGTCTTTTGGCTCTTTTTTATCCCCAAGACACTCTGGGACTTGAATGATAGTAGATGACATAACAGGGAAATATAATTCTCTCTGTTTGTCTCAAATATTATCCCTAGATTGAGTCACATGAAAAGAAGTTTATACCTTCTTTTCCATAGAAAATGCCCCCACCTCATTGAGATACATGTTGCTTAGTCTTCTCATTAGACTGGACTCAGAGATGCCAAACAGTTAGTACAGAACTCTCCATAAGAATCTACAAGCACGACCTCCAATTTAGTTCTAGAAATATATTCCAGTAACAATTCTGAAGCCTGAGGTGGTACCCCTGCATTTCAAGATGTCCCATAATGCATCTATTCTCCTTCCTCTCCTTACTAGCTCCTTGAACACAGTATAGGCATCTCTACTCATCTGTATTTGAGTCTATTCGCTCCCTCCCAGACTCAGTTCTCCAAGAGACAAGCAGCAAATGTAATCATGAATAATTTCTAAGTGCCAAGCTTCAGTATGGGAAGCAAGAGGGGTTATTTTTAAGTTGCACACTGCCCCAGGGCGACCATTATGCAAACATTAACTGGCACAAAGCTCATTTCTCTTCTTCTGACTAATGCTATTTCCTATGAGAACTGAAGCTTTAGATTTCTTCCCAATAAAGGAGAAATCTAAATTGCTCAGTATTCTGCTCCAGACAACTTCTTCTAAAAAAAAAAAAGTCTTAAGAACAAAGAAAGAACAGGCTGTTATGATTAGAGCATCTTTTTTTTTTTAAACTGTTTCTTTAACGCTTTTCCTGGAGTCTGGCCTGATTTAAAACTTTCCCATAAGGCAGAAACCACATTTCACAAAGTGAAATTGTTAATGGAAGGAAGAATACTGAGCAGGGGAAACACTATGTCAGACTCTTCAGCTGAGACTTGCAGAACAGACAGCCCAGATACAGGGGTATTGAAAAGTTTACTTGGAGAGAGCAGGAGATAAAGAGGTGTGACATAACAACATTACAACAGTTAAGGATGTCATGAGTAGCAGAGTTTTTGAGTAGTTTATTTCCTTTTAGGGCTTTTGCTTGAAATTTCAGGAGCTGCCACTAAGTGAAATGTGGCTGGATACTGTCTACGACTAGTAGACCATTCTTTTAGGTTTTGTTTTGTTTTTTTTTTCAATTGCATGAAACTGAAAGGTCATAGATAAGCACAGGATCACTTGGGTTTTTTTTCCCCCTTTTTTAATAAGTTACTAAAATTACAGTAAAGGCAGAGTAGTAGCTATAATAGGGGTTCTTAACCTTTTTTGTTTCATTCATCGGCCCCTTTGGCAATTGAGTAAGGTCTATGAATCCTTTCTCAAAATGATGTTTTAAATGCATAGGGTTATAAAGGAAAACAATTGCACTGAAATGCTGTTGTCAAAATATATATGTTTTAGGAGACAAGTTCAAAGTCTCCAGGTTAAGAACCCAGAGCTAGAAGGCACTTTGATGATCAGATTGAGTCCTTCATTGCTCAGTTGAAGAAACTGAAACTCAAGGAGACAGTGATTTGTTCAAGGTTACACAGCTAGTTAATATCAAAGTCAAGACAAACACACAGGTTTCTCTATTCCCAGGCTGGATTTTTCCCTCTACACCCAGGCAGCCTCAGATATTAGCTAACACTGATTATTAACCCTTGTATACTCAACTTTTTGTTCAGTCGAGTTCAACTCTTTGTAACCCCATTTGGGGTTTTCTTGGCAAAGATACAGGAGTGGTTCACCATTTCCTTCTCCAGTTCATTTTACAAAGGAGGAAACTGAGACAGTTAAGGTTAAGCGACTTGTCCTAAGTCTCTGAAGCCAGATTTGAACTCGGGAAGATGGGTCTTCCTGACTCCAGGCACATGCAAATTTAAGAAAGGCCATATATGTCAGACAGAGCCAGGAAAACATTAGCTCAGATCCCACCTCTGGCACATACTTGGACAAGTCACTTAAACTCTCAATGCCCAAAACATGATCAAAGGCTAAGAGTTGGAGAGAAGGTGCTGATCTGCATGAGTGGAGGGAGTTTCCTCATTGAGGAGTTCCCTGTCCTCAAATCACAGGCTTATCCCTATTCTTATAATTTAGACACACCTTATAAGACATACAAACACCTATGTCTAGTACACCTCAACTGAAATCAGTTACTTCTTAATTGGTGCTATGATCCTTGATCATTCCCTCTCCCCTCATTCCCCATGTCCAATCAATCGCTTCCAATCAGTTTTTGCTTCTAAAATAGCTATTCCTTTCCTTTCCAGCCATACTAGCAACAACCTAGTTGAAGTTCTCATTATTTCTTGCCTGTTTTTATCTGAACTATTATAACAGCCTACTC